GGCCCATGTGTTGCTGTTCATAAGGACAAGATAAGCCTTAAAAAAAATAAAAAGACAAAATAATTGCTGTTTTCTTCCTCGTCAGAAAGCTAAAGCCCAAACAGAACTGATCCTCCAAATGAAGGAGCAATGGCATATTGTCTTAGTTAGTGTCATGGCCCTGGTTTTCACTCCAGGCCTGTTTCAGCAAGCTGCTTAAATACACCCTAAACTTTAAGCACAGAAGTAAGTCAATGGGTCTGTTCATGTATTTAGTCTTAGGCACTTAGGCATGTGACTGAGGATCCTTTCCTGAGACAGTTTTATGAATTTTAATGGGGAATGGACAACGGCTGACAAACACAACGATTTGGAAATGGCCTTATTATCTGATCAAAATTACAAGCTTGCAAATGTGATACCACAGGTCATTTGGCTAAAAGAAGCCAGGAGTTTTCCAGATTTGTGTAATGACTCCATAAGTGGAAGAGCAAAACAGAAGTTCAAACAAAGCTGATTGCAAGTCAGAGAGCATGTTTTATTAAAGGCACTTTATCACGGAATAAAGAGTCCAGCATGGAACAATCCTGCCTTGGCAGGAGGTTGTATTAGATGATCTGAGAGGTATTTTTCATACCTAATATCTGTGATTTATTATTTAGTGTTCTTAATGTGCAGTTTAGAGCCTGCTCAAAATGAAGCCAATGGAAAGGTTCCCAGGAAAAGCCCCTGCATGATAAAGCAGACAATTGAGTGCTTATACTCCTACAGAAGAACAGAGGCGGTGCAAGTGTACATGCACCGTTCTGCCAATATGCCATAGCAATGAAACAGTTAGAGACAATATGTTCAAGGAATAACAGACAAATGCTTGTGTTAATAAAGTGCTTACTATGTATTCATAAATAATATTAATAAGGTTGTGCCCAGACCTGGACATAGACATGGGCGAACTGGGCGGCCGCCTGGGGCCCAGACAGAAAGGGGGCCCAAAAATGAAAAAAAAATTTACAATTGCAAAAAAAAAAAATTAATGTTGCACATATACAGGACTGGCAGTGTTATCAATTGAGAACAACCTATTTAAAGACATCAGCACCGTAGATGTGATTTGCAACAAAAACAATCATTATCTCTGGCGAAGTGGGGTCCGATATTAAAAGTTCACCTGGAGCCACCAGGAGTCTAGGTCCGGCACTGCTTGTGCCTATTAATACTCAATATTTTTAAATAATTATTTTACCCATAAAAAAGAATATTATCTTCATCTTAACATACACATTTTGAAAGACCTGCAGTGACTAACGGTGTATGTACATTGATATCATTTATATTAGTTCTGGATACCAATGTAAACTACACTGGGAGCCAAAGTGGACAGACTCGCAGCTCTTTAGGTGTATCTCCATGCAGTAGGAACTATTAAAAGTCCCCCACTTTGGGTGGCAGCGGAGCAGGGACCAGCCTTGGGATGGAAGCAGACAGACAGCACTTGCACTGACTTTGTCCTTTATTTTTCCCAGGGTATTTGATACTGAATTTGTACACGTTCCAGTACTGTTGAAATTGATGTCATCTGTCTGCTCCTGGTTTGTAGCATCTGAAGGCTGGTTACAATGTGTGTTGCAATTAAACAAAAATGTTCAAGAAAAAGGCCCTGATTGCCAGCAACCCCCCACCCATCCAGTTTTTAGAAACAACTCACCCAAATATTTGAGCAGAAAATGGAAAATTTAAGCCCCAAAATGAAAATGTTGATTAGAAATGCTGCCAGACCAACTTGTGGGAGCTGTAGATTGAGTGACTAATATCCCTGTTCTCCTTTGTGGGCCTGGTCCCCCAGCTGGACTGTGTCTGCCTTGACATGTGGAGAGAGTAGATTATGGCACATCACAGAAGATGTGGTCTGGCTACTAGACTAAGCCCTGGCAAGAGAATGAGGACAGAAAGCATCCAATCTACACCCCCACAAGTTCATTTTAAATTGATTTGTTCTGTTTTTATCTGAAAGGGTTTTGATTGATGATTTTTTTTTTCTTGGCAAGTTGAAATTTTTCCGCGGGGAAGAACCTACCTTCTGACCATCTAAAGTGAGAAGCCCAAGTCCAGTTTTCAAATAAAACAAACCAAAACAATTTAGAGCTAGTTTTTCAAAGATGAATAAAAATGCGGAAAGTTCAAATGGGCTCCTAACTACCTCTTAGGGGGCTTAACATCCAGCCTAAGTTTTGATTTTAAAATGATTGATTGGCCTATCAAATTTTCTCTTAATAAAAATAGGTATATATTGAAGAATAACAACTGTGCCATTGACATGACTCTGCACTAGCTATTAGAACTGCTATTCTCAGTACATATTAGACATTTAAACACTAAGGCTACCCACAGTTATTCTGAAGGGGGTAATGATTTATAAGACATATAAGCTTTCATTCTTCAGGACATAAGCCAACAACAAGCAGCCTGCATTTGGGAAGGTGCTTTCTCTGGGGTCAAGTTACTAGAGAATTCTCCATAATGGGGGTTTTACCTCTTTCTGTGGCTCATCCATGACCGGTTGCTGTCAGAGACACGCTACCGTTTAGACAGACGTTTTGTGTGAACTCATGGGACAGCTCCCATATCCTTAATTTGTAACCAGCGTGTCTTGTCCATAGGAATGCCTTGCTGTAATTCCTTATACGTTAGTGAAGTTTAATTCTAACTAACAATGATATGCGAGATAAAAGCGCGGAGTAATAAATCGAATGCAATACCAAACAAAAAATGTTACCCCAGATAGCTGCAGATTAGTATAAGGAGTAGAAATGGAATTAAAAGGAAGTATCGCAAAATCCATGAAATGTCATATGTGATGAACTGGCTTGTCAAAGGTATTGATTGACTCTTGCGTCTGTTGACTGCTCATTTGTGTTTACCATTGCCATCTACTGGGTGAAATCAGACCTTCCCTTTCATGTACAGAATTCATGGAAATGTACTGGAGATGTTTATAGCATCCAGAAGAGACTTGTGTAGAACTTCATACTAGTATTTTCTAGCTTCCGCTTGTTATTGCTTATTCAGAAGACATTTGCACATTTGCATCTTGTGCCACTGAATTGTATCCTCCTGTTTAAAACCTCAGTTACCCCATGACCTTTTTATCTGCAATTTTCTGCAGTCACAGACGTTTCTCCAAATCAAGTCAGTATGGCAGATGGTGTAAATCAGTGTCTCTCTATTTCAAAATAGCTATGTGGATTTGTATCCCCTGGGAATCTGGCCACAGCCTATTATGTTGTCTGCATTTGGGGAGCATTTTTTTGCTACATCATGTTTGAAAAATCTCTTCTTCCTTCTTCAGAAGTTCTGCTTCTACGAGATACACATCTGTGTGTATGTATATAGACACACACATATATACTTAAATATATATATATGTGCATACATTATATACATCTGTATACATGCATGCACGTATATTTATATAGTTGTATTCTTGCATGCATGTTTATATACAAGGACTGCACTGGCTGCTGGCTTTTCCAGAAGTAGTTTACTGGAGTCCTGCTCCTTTGCAAATGGGAAAAGAACTTCAGCTAAACTCTGCCACTGTTGGCACACCCATTGCATTGTCATTTTTCACCTTACTTGTCGAAAGACTGTCCTGTTTTTAAGATTAAAAAGCTACCATTCACATCCCATAGTTTGCAATGCTTGACCAAAGCTATAGCACATGGCCTATAAGGAAAGGCTGGAAGAATTTCAATTATTTACTCTGGAGAAGAGTAGACGGAGGTGGGGATTTGACGCCAATCTTGAGATACGAAAAGGGTTGTTATAAAGAAGATGGTGATCAAACCTTTCATTGTCCACATGGTGCAGGTTATAAAATTACGGACTTAAATTGCAACAGGAGAGATCTAGGTTGGATCTTAAGGCGATTTGAATTATGAAGGTGACTAAGTACTGAAACAGATTACTGAGAGACGTTGTGGCATCTCCATCACTGGACATTTTTAAGTTCATATTACACCACCACTTGGTTGAGATGCTTTATGCAAAGATGATCCTTCCCTGAGCAGAGGGGGTTGGACTAGCTGGCTTCTTGAGGTCTCTTACAGCCCTATTTTTCTGTGATTTTAGGATGGCTTCTTCACTGTTGGACATTGAGAGTGTGTCCGTTCCTATGGAAAGTTGTCTGGGATGGGGCTAGCAACCTGAGACCCCAAACTTAGTCCTGAATGGGACTTCTTACTTTAGATTTCATTGGGCATGTCTACACATTCATTAACACGTTTTTGCTACTGCACATTAAATTTAGTACCTCTAATATGAGGTACTACCTAAAGGTGCTTTAGGCAGCCCTAATGCGCACTAGCTAAAGCAAATGCCTTTTTAGTGATGCTTAATGAGCAGCAAACTAATTCTACTGTCCATCAGCATATTAGCACTGTTTTTGATGTGACGCTTTAATGCACAGTAAAATAGGCCATGGTGCGTTAAAGTCCACATATAGTCATGCCCATTGGGACCAGAATTAGATCCTAAAAGCACATCATAAATAAACTCTAACATAAAGGTTGAATGATACTTCAGTCATGTAACTATTGGCCCAGATCCAGAGCCATGTACCTTGTCATAGCTCAATCGACTGTATTTCAGACACTCTGTTTTGATTGAAAATACCTTGTAGCCAGTTGAATTGAAGCTCTCATCTCTAAGATTGCAGCCATAAATGAGAGTAAATGAGCAGAGACAAGGCTTCCATGTTCTCTTTCATGATCTCACTGGATTCTCTTAGGTAAGTGGCATCAATCCATGCCTCAGTTTCTCTCAGCAGCAACCAAAGACTATAACATGCCTCTTCAAAGGAGGTGGTGAGGTATTTAGTATGTTGAGCTCTTCAGGGGAAAGAACTATATTTGGGCAAGATGTTCCTCTTGTTATTAGTACTGATTTAGGAAGATGCTGGCTCAGTAATACCTGGACAAGGAAAAAAAACATCATATAATTTTCTCCTTTGTCTTTCTTTTTAGCACGACCACATTACCTTCCTACATCAGGATCACCAATGGTTACATCACGGTCAAGCCACCCATTTGGATTTCAAACCGACTGGATCAGAGACCACGCTCAGATCACCCCTCTCACCATCAACCCAAAAGCTCAGCGCCAGGCAGTGTGTTGGTGCCATCACTAACTGCTTCTTTCTGTGTAGCAATAGCTTCTTTCCTCCTGAGTCTACTGAGGCCTTCCTGACCCACCTCATTTCATGTGCAATAGCCAGAGGAGAGAACAGAGATAATTTATGACCCAACGGGAGGCTCGTTCAAGAGCAGTTTCAACCTGGATGTTCTAACTGAAGGGTAATGGTTGTGCCTCTAGCTGGTTTTGTTGCTTTCCCAGATACGTTTTAAAACTCTAAAGCTTTATGGTAACACTGACTTACATCTTCTTTTTGTAGAAGGATCTTTATTTCCCATAGTGCTATGGGGCTTTGTAAAATATATGTGTTCATATAAAAAAAAAAAAAAGAAAGAAGTGTATTTATTCGACTGGTAAACTTATTGTTGTTTTATATGTTAATAACATCCGTATTAAACAGTAGCAATGGTGAAATGGATAAATTAATATTTACTATATCTGTCTTTGAACTGACCCTCTGCAAAAGTCAGCATTGACCCCCAAAGAATGTGTTTTAGTCGTTTTACAGCCACCCTCTCATAGGCCAATTTGCGCTGATCCTTTTTATTTTATCTTTTTTTTTCAATCTGTTCACTGCAATTTAAATACACCTGAGGCAAATCCTGCTTTCTGTGAGTTATCTCCACTAGGAAAAAAGTGTGTTCTTACCTTGAACTGGGTAACATTAGGTAAAATCTTAGTGAAGGAGACATAGGGCATGACTACATGTGCCTATTTAAGGTGCTTTAGCCCGATTTAAGGTACATTAAGGGTGCAGGTCTATACGGGCATGCTCTTAATGCACTTTAAAAATGGTGATTTTAGGCTATTCTTGCCTAAATTTGATACCTCAAAAGGAGGTATCAAATTGATGTGCAAATAACTCAAGGGCCTTAACGCATATGTAGACAGGTTAAGGTCCATTAGCACTGTGTATTTTGACTGACTTGGGACTAACTTTAGTAGTTATAAAGCAAATGGTGATCAAACCTTTCATTGTCATAGCTTTAGTCCCAAATCAGTCCCAACACAGTGTTAATGCACCTTAGTGCATGCATGTGTACACGCATGCCTAAACTGTTTTAATGTGCATTAGGCAAATGTGCATTAAGTTTAGGCATGTGTAAAAGCACATGTAGCCACACCCACAGGGGGTTTCCACACATTAACAATTCAAGATAAATCTTTAACTCAACCTTTTATTTCATACAGAAACAACAAACTGCCTTGTCTCCAGTGTGACTAATTAGCAGTTCCTGGTAATAAACCTGGAGTAAGAACACACCAACTGAAGATGTGCCTTTTAAGTCTTGGGTACCCCTATAGAGTTGGTATCTCCTTTTATAGACATGGTGTATCAGCTTAACTCTATTTCTGATTTTCCTCAGTGCAGACAAAAACAGGGTCTGACCTAGCTACAGGTTGTAACTGTTTAATCACATGCTGGTCTACAGAACTTGTGTCTGGCCATCATTTAGACAGTGTAGGCTGGGCAGGTTGGATTGCAGAAGCAGCTTAAAGTTCAGGTTTGTAATGCTATGCTCCTACTGCTCTGATGTATATGACTGGTCCCTCTGTGTTGAATCATGACCTAATCTAAAACCCACTCAGATTTATGAAAAGACGCCTATTGACTTCACTAAACTTTGGATTGGGCCCTTTGGTCATGAAGAGATACAGAAAGATTCTCAAGAGGTGGAGATCAGGGCACTTCTATTTATTTAATAGAGCTGTGCTAGGTTATACCCACTAAAAATCTCACTCACTTGCCAAATAGCTAGTTTTGAGTTTGACAGTGATATACAGGGAAAAGAGATGAAGCATGAAACTTCACCTCAATCTAGTCCTCAGTGGGCTAAATGCACAGTAGACTAATTCTCCTGTGCATTAGTGCGGCAGGCAAAAATGTGCTAATGCGCAGTAGAATTAGTCTAGAATTAGTCCTGTGATAACAGGTACCAAACTTAATGTGCTTTAAGTATAGTACATTAATGAATGTGTACACGTGCCCAATGAGAACCAGGCTTCTTGCTACTCTCCGGAAACTAGTTACAGAGAATTCTGAACACCACCCATAATTTAAAAGGCAGCACGTTTAGTAGAGCAAATTGATTTTTGTTCATCAATGCTTTTTTGTGGTGGAAATGAAAATTGTGGAATATGTTCAATTTGATTGGAAGGTTTTGTAGTTTCAAAGAAAATCAGAAATGGAAAACAATACAAAGATCAATCAAACGATGCCATTGCTTTACAGCAGGCAGACTGAATTTGTAAATAGGAGGGTATTTTTTTTTTTTTAAAGAAACTAAAATAATTTCAGTTTTGGGTTTTCACTCAAGTTTTCCCACAGGAAATTTAATAGCAATCCACTCTAATGTTTAGCCTTCCAGGAATGGAAAAGGCACTTTGCACAGGAATCTGTAAGCAATTGTATGGTGAATCATACTAACAAAATTATGTGTTTGTTTGTTTGTTCCATCCCTATCACGATTAACAGAAGAAAACACGGCAGGTTAAGGAATAGTCAGGGTGTAAAAGGCAAATGTCTTTATTTGGAACCCGCTCCACAAAGCTAGGATGCTCCAGGTTGTACATGACTTTTCTGTTTCATATTCCATCACATCCCAGGTAAAGATCAACCCTTTGGTGCAATGTCAAGGCAACAAATGATAGAGGGAGTTTTTTTCTGAATTGACTATATAGGCTTTGCTTCCCTTCAGATAGAAGGATGCTAAGATTCATTTTAGGTGCATGGTATGGAAGTGAGCGGGTACATTGCTTAGTGAGCTAGATCTTTTTTTCCAGGGCTGGTACAAAAGCCTACAACTTGAAATGGAAAACATTGAGCTTTGCCCCCAGTGAGAGCTTCAAGCACGTCTCATGCATACTTTTACATTGTATATTTTGGCTTGTGGAAGGTTAGAGATGTTGGTTTTGGAAGGAAGCCATTCACCTTGCATGATATTTATTGCACTGGATCGCATATTGGAAACATGTTTTAGGATCTTTAGTTTCAGTTTTATTTGAGCTCTTATGCTGTAAGAGATTTCATTTGAGTATAACAGCTTAGAAACTCTTCATCTTCAATATAAACTTGCCTAGAAGAGGGTTCTACTGCAGCAGACAGTGACCTGGATCTTTTAACTGAGAGCTTTGAACTCATTTCCAGATAAATGACCCCATACTAAATGACCCCATACTACAGGTAATATGCAGGTTTTCTTGAGATGATGGTATATGACATAGAACAAAGCCCAGGATTATTACCATTGCAATATGGCAGCATCTAGAGATGAGGGGCCTGGTTTGCTCTGTAAAGCACAGTTAGAGATAATCCCTGCCTCCTAGAAATTAAAACCAAATAGGCAAGACAGAGGTAGCGAGGGAACAAGAGATGCAGTAGCCTGCCTTGCATTATACAGTTGGATGTTAGTGAGGCTCAAGATACAACCTGCCTCTCCCAACCTTATTCAATAAAGCACAAATATTTCCTACTTTGACCTGTACGTGAGGGTATATATAGATATCTAGATCTAGATATCTCTATATATAGTAATTTATTGGTTGTCAAAATATTGCATACACACAATAGTCAATTGGAAGTTCACCGTAGTACCAAGAAAAGATCTCTGAGCCACTGTTCCAAAAGCAACATATATATATTTATATCTATATATCTATCTATATCTATCTATATATTTATATATAGACAGATAGAGAGAGAGCGAGAGAGAGGACATCTGCCCTCCTATGCACAATCTTATGAAATCTCTGTAACAAGTTTCTCCTCTGGAAACATAATATTAGCAAAGGATTTAGTGCAGATGTAGCTGCTTTAAGGCTATCTAGCAGCCAGAAATGGGGAAGGGCTAATACTGTGTAATCAATGAGTTTTCCATGGACCCTAACTGAGGCAGCTCTACATCAACAGCTTTAACACAGTTCTCTAATTGGATAATATTCCCTTTATGCCATAGTCTACAGATATCTTTCCAACTAACTGCTTTCAATCAAATGTTTGTAAAACAGAGCAGTAAATACATCAGGGACTATAAAATAAGACCCCACTGCACTGGACTCTAGACAATATGGAATACATAGTAATTAACTGTGCTAACCCAGGACTAATAAAAATACACTGGATAGCACAAAACTGTGGTTCTGAAAGTCCTGTATTCAAGTGGGTCATGTTAATGTCATGATTATTTTCTGCATTTGTTTGGAGAGTGTCTATAAAATTCAGATGCATGCTGTGTGCATTATAATAAGAGTCATGGTCTACCAGCTGCACTGGACTTTTATTTTCCTTTTGGGTTTTGAGCTTTTAGGGTTTGGATTTTTAGGCTTCCCACAGCAACCACAAGAGATAGAAATTGACTTTTTTTTTTTCCCCCTTAGCAAAAGCTGAGAGTTATGTGTAATCACATGACTCCAGGAGTTGGCGCTTTAAGAAAAACAGCCACTACCACGAGAGCCACAGTAAAATTGCAACTGTTGGCCACACTGTTTATCTGAAATATCCTCCAGATATTTCATGAAATTTCTTCTAACGAGGGCCATGATTTTGGTATTGTTAGATCCAACTTTGAAAACTCATGTGATTCAGTCTCACAGCAGAACACTAAGCTAAAATCAATCCTAATAGAGTTGATCCTCTATCTAATGCAGCAAACTCATGCTAGTTAACTATCTAGCCTGCGAGGAAAAGAAAATGCAGCATTGCAAACAAAAGAATCTATTCCAATTCTTTTGTGTCCGTGCTTTTCTTGCCACTGTTCACCTACAGACCTTATCCTAAAGTGTGTTGCTATCTGAAGAGCATGTCTAAAGTGGAGATCACCGGGTGGCACATTACATTGTGTGAACGGCATGTTTTTCCAGTGTACCTACTCGGGTTTTTGAATAATACATTGTCTTCCTATACCTCTACTGGTAGTAACTGCTGAGTTTGATTAATAATCAAAAACCCTTGGTCTTGAACTCTCTGCACCTTCCTCCAAACTCAGAGGTAACTGAGGGAAATCCAAGGCTCAGTGCAGTATATTTATCTCCTTCTTTGATAGGCAGTTGGCAAGAAAGTGAGATAGTTCAAACCATCCTTAATGCAATAATGTGCTCAGGCAATTTATTACCAACCAGCCCCCATGTGGGAAGGACTTGTTCACAGAGTATTTATATCAGAGAAACCAAAGTGCCAAGATTTAGGTTTTCTGTTTTTTTTTAAATCAGCTACATGTCATTGCCCTAAAGTGCTGCTGACTAAGGTAATTCTAGGGAATAAGGTAATTCAATATTGGGTCCAAACCTGCATAGGCCTGATTCACACCTCTGAAGAGATTGCCAGGCCAACCAGTGCCCATCTTCAGGTTCACCTGGTTTGACTGAGTTGGAGAAAACCAGCCGCATGAGACGGCCCGTTCACACCACCGCAAGCCCACGGAAATCCTCTTTTGATTTATACCAGTGCAAAAATTCTAGCGACTAGTTTTTAAGCCGGTGCCTTAATCTTGGGAAACTCCTTCCCAGCTGTTTGATTGCACTGTTTTTGTGGAGGAATGACACTTCTTCTAGCTGCAGCATCACATCAACGAGCCAATTACACGTTCGTCAGTTCCCAATTCAAATGGTCAATTCCCAGTTCAAATGGTCAGCTCCCAATTCAAATGTTTTTCAAGTATTTCTAAGCCCCCCCATTCCACCTCATGCTTTTATGAACTGTTTTGAAAAGTGTAATGAAAAAAAAAAAGATGCTTTCTAATGTTATTTTGTCAAAATATTTTTGTAGCATAATATATTAATAAAAGTTATTATAAATCCACAGCACAGGAATGTTGTACACGTGGGTTCTTTCCCTCACACTTTAACTTGGGCATTTATTGAAAATGGAAAAACTCAGATATAAATTTTGGGGTGGAACTTGAAAGCTGTCTTTTGGGGGTGGGATGGGCTCTTTTCCCCATGGAAACAGGCCATTTCAAGGTGGCAAATACATAAGATGTGAACATTTTGCAGTAATAAGCAGTTTTCTTTAATTATTGTAATGACCTGGGAGGTCTGTGTACAACCTAGAAAT